GCGTTGACCCCTATCTGTATATTAACGTATGTTGCTGAAGTTTGGGATAAGTACGATTTTAAAGAACAAGTTACAGAAATTGATGTGTTATTAAACGTCATACAAAATTCTTCAATAAACAAAACATGCACATATAATTTAGCAAATTAAAGCAATTATCAACCTCTTTTCATAAAGAAATTGACTATAGGATAATGAGTTGTTATTGATATACAATGATGCATGTTGCTAGCCGTTGTACAATGAGAAATACAACATTGACAGAAATGCAATAAAAGCAGAATCAACCAAAAAAAAAAAAAGAATCTTCCATTTTTAATATAAAATCTATAGAATGAAGCATCTTGATAATATATGGATTCACACCATGCAACTAGTAAGTAATAAGCTGCATCTTCAAGTACTGGTATATATTAAGATGACAAAGTATATATATATATATACATACACACACTATGGAACTAGAAGAATAACGCAATTTGTGGTATATATGGTGTTAAAAAACACAAATTTGTTTAAGATGCAGAGTACAGAATTTTCCACAATCTATATATGATTTTGAAAGAAAAAAAAATAATCCGATCATCATCCTGAAACCATGCATGTTAAACATAATCAAGAAGAAATACCTTTTTGCTGATCTTGAGAAAAGAATCTGCAGTTCAAGAGATTGAGAGACTGAACACTCTGAAGAAGATATAGTGAAATGTAATACTAATAAACTTTTCTTGTGAAACGAGCAGCGTGCCGGCCCTTTGCCGAAAAGGCAATTGGACCCTTGTCTTTATCTAAGAATTTCAAGTACGTAATACTACTCCTCTCAATATGAAAGGGTAGCTTTGTCATTTATAACGCCTTCCCCGCCTTTTCATTTCACTTGATATCTTTCTGCCTTCCTTTGGCCACTTGAAAGTCTCACTTACACTCTATTTGGAACATTGTTACTCTGTTTGGATTGTTACCCGTCGTTTTATAATGTATCATATTGTACTGTATCGTATCGTTTTATGAATATAATGTTTGGATAGACTGTATTGTTTATTGTTGTTAAATAACATTTTGTTGTTTGGTTTGACTGTATCGTACTGTACAGTAACTGATAAGTTTACTAAAATACCCTTAATTATTTTAAATATCTAATTTATCAAGAATTACACATAAAAATTATTTAAGAAAACTACTTTCTACTAATTTATCACCAATTATGTCTTATATATAAGTTAAGCAATTAAATTCATGCAAATCCTATCGAAATTAGTGGAACAAGTTAATAATATTAAAAAAAATAATAAGTACACTATGTTCATAATTAGATCATAATAATAATAAAATAAAATAAAATATTAAGTAGATTCCATTTAGAATTTAGATCATAAGTAATATTTCCTAACAACCAATATCATAAAGCTAATTGGAGATAAAGTAATTAGAATTGGAATTACAAATCAAAGTAGAAGAAAGAATAAAACAAAAGTTAGGGAAAACCTATACCTGAAGAGTTTGGAAGCGGCACAAGCAACGGGATTTTCACGTTATTAGACCTCACGTATATAGCTTATATTTGGGATGTTATCTTTGAGAATTTATATAGGTTATTAGACTTTACGTAGAATTCTATTATAAAATTATATGAGAAAGAGACTTTGCTATTATTTAAAATAAAAAAAAGATAAAGGGTAAAATAGAATTATAAAGTAATAAGTTAGGGCATAATTAGAAAGAAAAATAGGAAACAATCCCATCAGACCAAATCGGTTGTTTCAAAAAATTAGACTTTTCATTGTTCCGGAACAATGAATTTACCAATATAATACAACCAATTTTAACTAAACAATCAAAACAAATATTATTTTGAGAAAACAATACAATACGATACAATGCAACTATCCGAACAAGCTGTTAAGGCTTTTTGTTTAATCCACATAGTAGCTTTTTATTTTAAAAAACGAGGAGACGCATTTTTAAAATCGGCTAAGTGATTTCCGTTATAGCAAAAAGGGCAGATTTAATCCAAGTGTGTATTTCAATTTTCAAGTGGAATTCCAATTTCAATTTCTACTCACATAGCTACAACTATCATAAACTTTTTTTCCCCTCAAAACCCCCCAACTATCTAAACACAGTTTCCTTCAAACTTCTTTCCCAATAAATTTATTTGTCAACTTCAACTTCAAATATTAGGAGTATCTAACAATGATAATTAAATATTTATAATCTTTTCATTGATGGATTTCACTGAGGCAAGTAAATACTGAACTTCAACATACTTTCTAAGCTCCTAGTGACTTGTTTTCCTTGATGAGACTATGAGCTAACAAGCCTAACAGGCTCTAAAACGACTCTTTTTTTAAAAAATATATATTTTAATTTGTACATAGGGGAAGGGGATAATGCCAGTGGGAAATTGAACCTTCATAAACAAAATAGAAATTCAGATAGCCAACCAGGTGGAACCCCATTAATTTTTCTGTTTCACACTTTGTGTTGGATTTATTGTAAAGAAGTTTACTTTAAATAAATTTATTTAAATAAAGCTAAAGAATCTGACGAGACAATGCGTATTTTGGAATGTGCATTTTGAAAGTATAATTATTGCTTTCGTTATGTCATCATACAAGAAAATAACGAAGTTTTTTTTAATTAAAATTAAAAAGCTAGTTTATAACTAACGTTACCAAATGAAGTTCTGTCATCAATTAAAAAGGACATACAATGAATACGATGAGAAAATTAAATTTCTAAAAATTATTTGTAATTACAATTTTTTCCGACATAACATGTAACTCCAATTTTCAAGAAGGAATTAGATTTTGTTAAAAAAAGTTATTCCTTAAATTCCTAATGTAAATAAAAATAAGTAAAAGAAAATATTTGTAAGATTCCTAACGAAAATAAAAGGGTAAATACATTTTCAAGAAGGAATCAAATTCCTTTAAATTCTTTATTCACATAAATAAAAGAAAAAGTGTACTCCCTCCGTTTCAATTTATGTGAACTCATTTGACTGGGCACAGAGTTTAAGAAAAGAGATAATACTTTTGAACTTGTGGTGTAAATGAGACACATATATTTTGCGTGGTTATAAATCATTTCATAAAGGTAAATTGTTTCCAAATAAAGAAAGAGGTCATTTTTTTTGGCATGGACTAAAAAGAAAATAGATTCACCTAAATTGAAACGGAGGGAGTATTTTCTATCTTAAATGTGTTTTTTTTTCTTTTGGCTGAATCTGACAATAGTACTTGGAGTTTTCAATAAGACCATGTTTCTTAAATATTTGAGTTCAAATGGATAAACATCTTTCCATAACAATTCGGATTCTTTTTCTTATTTTTAGCTCTTCCGTTTCCTTAAATTTAGCTCCATCAGTTCTTTTCCAATCTTTCCTTAAGTATTATAATCATTATCCTTTTAAGTCCTTCTATTCTGAAGCTCTCATTCTTACATTTAGCCTTTTCATATCTTTTCAAAATCCAAGTTTTTATTAAAAGTTAATTGATCAACAAGTTTGTCTAATATCAAATGCACTCATGAAATTTAAAAAGGGCGATCAAGATCTCGTAATGGACATCCATGCTTTTATAATACTAAGATAAGATAAAATACAATAAATATAAATATAGATAAATATAAAGTATAATAATAAGATATAGAGCAGCAAAATAGAAGGAGATTTAAGGAAGAATTAATATTTGAATTAAATAAAGAAAATGACACTATTTTTGCCATGAAAAAAAGAAGGAAGATTATTCACAAATAGCCGGTCAGATTCACTGTTAAATTTTTAGCTTGTATACATATATTATATATTGAGTATACACAGTTATATATATTATACTTTAGTTTAAAATTATTTAGGTTAATTTTTCTTCTTTTTAAAAATTCCAAAAAAAAAAAATTAATCTAATGGCCCAATACTCGTTTCTCAAGAAAGGGATTATTAGCCGTCATAAGTCAATCTCCCCTGTACTCCTAACTGCAGTCTCTCTCTCAAGGTCAGCAAAAATTTACTCCATTTCTTAGCTTTGTGCTTAATTAGTTCATTTCGTGATTATATATATGAAATATAATATGATCTGAGTTTATGTTTTTTTCTTCTTATCTTGTATAGGAATTTCTACTATCATCCTGCAGATATTTTGGAATATAACATAGTAGCGTCAGGATTTCCTTATGTCACTTCTTTTTTGATCAAATAATTAACTTGTAATAAAGACACTATGAGTGATCATAATGTTGGGTTGTCAAAAGATTCTGTTGCATGCATGTTAGTTTTGGTATCCTTATTTTACAGCTATCAATTGGAATTGCATTAAGTTTTCCAGAAGCTTTTGTTGGTAATCTTGTTTTCCAGCATTAACATCAGGGTTCTCACGTTTAATCCATAAAAGAGCTCCTTCTCTTATGTTGCATTGTCCTTTTGTTTCAACCTTCCAATATACTGATTATAAATGAAAACCTGCCTCCAGTTACCTGATCATTTCTTTTAGACTTGATAGTACTTGAAATCCACCAAAGAAAAATTTTCGACCTTTAAATTTCTTAGCATAAACTTATTGTACTTTTAAAATTATGGTTCAAATGTAATATCCGTTGGAATTGTAGTGGGTTTTCACACACGAACATTCCACGCTAGAAATATTGGGTTCAGATGACCCCGCAGCCGAAGAGCTGCATCTGCCACTGTCATCATGCATGTGAAATTTCTTCTTAGTAAGTGGCTATTTGCGCTGCTCCCACTCTTGGATCCGCTTCTGTGCTCTCATAGTAGAGGCACGTGAACTTCGGCCTGAAGCCTTTCTTGTTTCCTCTTATCTTCCATGGTTTGAGTCCTTCATGTAAAGGGGTTACCATTCTAAAGATTTACATAAGAGTCAGAAATATTTTGTTTATTGTTGATTTTATTTTATTGATTCCCCATTGATGTTGTATTCCTTCAAAAGAAGAATCTTTAACTCTGTTGTTTTGTCACTTAAGGTGATTTGATCAGATAAGATAAGATGGTTGGAAGTTCAGTCAGTGATGATTGGGAATTTATTGGAAATGGAGCTCGGACACTAATTCTGGTTGGGCGTACAGGTGACGGGAGAAGTGCCACGGGCAATAGCATTCTTGGAAGAAAGGCATTCAGGTCGATGCCTAGCTTTAGTGGTGTTACAAGAACTTGTGAAATTCAGAGGACTGAATTAGAAGATGGACAGATTCTTGATGTGATTGATACCCCTGGTACACTCAATTATTTCCTAAGAGAAATGTACAATCAATTGTTAAAGAAAAGCTTAAGATAATCTTTTCTTTGATGTTAGTATGATTGACACTTCCCATTATATGAGAAGTACCATAAAACAAGATAGCGATTACCTACCAAAGTAATGATAAATATTATTATGCGTTGATTAATTTCTTTTAACATACCTTAAGGATCCATTCCCCAAGATTAAGAAACATAAGGCACAGAATGTTACACCGTTTTAGGCCGTTCACAAATTTTTCCTTGTAAGAGTCTCTGAAGCTAAAGTACCTCGCTTGGTTGCAAAAATTCGTAAGCTTGTTAATAGATTTGGTAGCTAATAAATTTCCCCTTTCTCAAACAGTGATTTCTAGCGGGCCACTGTATATGGTCTCTGCATCGAAAAGGAATAAGTAGAGTAATTTGATGACACATGGTGCATAACATTTAAAGAAAGAATGTCTTAGGATAGGGGAAAAGAACATACAACCATAGGAAACTTGAATTTGCTGAGTCTTGCTTCTCTATTTCTTATATTCTTCAGGTAATCTCTAAAGTTGGAAAGTTACTGATAGCTTAGTTTGTGGGAATTGCAGGATTTGATTTAACAGCTAAGTCTGAATCAGTTGGAAATGAAATTGTTAGAGGCATTGATTTGGCCAATGATGGCATCCATGCTGTTCTTTTGGTTTTGTCTGTACGAACTCGCTTTTCAAAAGAAGAACAAGCTGCTATCCAGTACTTTAGGGAGTTCTTTGGGGACAAAATTAGTGATTATATGATTGTCGTCTTCACTGGAGGGGATGAGGTTGAAGACAATGAGACTTTGAATGATCACTTAGATCGTTCGTGCCCTGAGCCTTTAAAGGTAAAAATGATGTGCAGAGATGTATAGTCGGATGTATTTGCACAATAGCGCGCCTTGGAATAAGCTGACTGATTCTACTAGCTAATATACGGGCATTTTAGCTTTCATCTATTTAAGAGGTTTCTTCATTTTGTTCCAATTTTGGATGAGAAGAAGAATTTTCATTGGATTGTCGTGCCTATGTTTTTTCTGCATTAACTATGACAAAAGCGAGAAAAGTTTTCAATTTGTGGGATGGATTTAGAATGTTCATAATTTATATGGCATGCTCAAGATTGTCCAGATTGTTCCTTAAATTAGTTTGTCCGACCATTACAGGAAGTTTTTAAGCTGTGTGGAAACAGACATGTGCTATTCGACAATAAGACTAAAGATCCAATGAAGAAAGCTGATCAATTGAGGATACTTCTTTTCCATGTGAATACCGTTGCACAAAAGACTGGTGGTAAACCATATACAAAGGACTTGTTCAAGGAAGTAAATGTATGTATATGGCGTTCAGTAATTGATTGGATTTCGTTTCACATTATTCGTTAGTTCTTGTGAAGGGAGGGAGGTAACAACCTATCTAGTAAATCTCTATCATTTATAGAAGATGGAACTTCATAATGACAAGTTGGAGGCAAATTCTTCGCCGGGAAATATAAAGCAAGAGATAACTGAGTTGAAGGAACAACTGCAGAGGTGGTCTTGCGAGGAGCAACATTTGCTAATAGCTGAAATGGTAGGTATCGCTGTTGATGAACTTTTCCTTCCATTATCATTTGAAAATATCAGTGTTCATAAATTGCATTAAAACAAAAATATTGTCAAGCACGAATATAGTTATATTTTCTTATTTGTAAATGCTAAAAGCTAAATATTAAACTTTTTAATAATAACTAATTCTAGATCCCCGCGAGTACAATATGGTCTGTGAATTAGGTACCTGATCATGTTCGTGATGGTGCCCCTTGAGCATTTTATCGACCTATCTTTACCTATTTGATAGGTCGAATCTATGTTGATAGAGATCATGCATAGTGTTGAAAAGCATTTGGGGGCAGAAAAAAATGCGGAGATCAACAATCAATTATTTAGAGATATCTTGGAGAAGAAAGCTCAAAGGGAGAGTAAGGCGCTCAGCCTCAAAGGTTGGTGTCTATTTTATAAGTTATTGTCTTCTTTTTTTCTTTTTCTTTTGTCAACTTCAACTTCAAGTATTATTCAAACATATAATTGCATATTTGTAATATCATTCAAGGCATTATTTTCTTTCACTACTATTTTTAATTTAAACTCGTACATATTTCTAATTCATTGACGTAATTGGTCTTTGCAAAGTAGCTTAATTTTTCCAGTCTTTTACAAAGTTTTGTGTTGCTGCCCTGTAAGTTATAACTATCCGTCAGTTAGGACAGGGGCGAAGCTATGTGTGGCCAAGGGTGGTCAACTGAATACCCTTCGCCGCAATATATTATACTGTGTATAGGGAATTTTTTTTACTTGTTATTGATAAAATATAGACGTTGAACACTCTTTGCAGAGCCCACTTGCAAAGGGTGTTTAAATTTGAACACCCTTATTGAATTTTCTGGCTTCGCCACTGAGTTAGGGCTGCCTATCGGTCGGATCGGGCGTATATTTATGCTTAACGGTTCGGCTTATCAGTTATCGGCTTTTAAATGTACTAATCCGCTGGCCAACCAATAAGATATCGGGCGGTTCGGTATCGAATTAGACAGGCGGTTATCGGGCGGTTTATCGGGCCAAATTAATGAGACAATGAAAATAAAATCAGTACACTCTACTCATAATCAAAGAAGTGGCAATGCAATTACTTCCTTCGCAAATGTAAGACGACAACATTGAAATACTTCTGGCCGTCGCTTAGTGTGGAGGTCTGGAGAAAACGGCTGCAAGAAATGTGAAGAAATTGGCCAACCGCAAAATTGGCTTATTGGTATCGGATTATCGGATTAATATTTAGTACAGAATTCTGAGTCATTCTCATTTCCTTTGAAGCTATAAAAATTTATGGTTCTTCCACTGTTTGTCTCATGCTTTGTTCTTGTCAGCATATTGTAAAGTTCTGACTTTTGTCTTCTGGTTTTGTTTGATGGATAAGTTAGGGAGACGTCGTTCATACAGCTGCTGCAAATGTTCTAAGATGTTTCAGGTGAACGATTTCATCTGTCCATTTATAGTTACTTGATCACTATTGTCGTGCACTTTATCTGCGATCATCTGGTTTATGAGCATTAACTATAGAAATTAGAAAAGATATAATTGTTTTTTTACAGGCAAGTAGTGGCAAAGCTTTCCTTTTTTCTCTCGTGAAGAATATTGTTCTAGGAACCAAAGAAGATAGACATCTTATTACTGGTCTTCACACAGTTGCTGACATACACTGTGAGAAATGCAATGAGGTATTGGGTTGGAAGTATGAACGAGCTTTTGAGCCAGTGCAGAAGTACAAGGAAGGGAAATTCGTACTCGAACGGTCCAAAATTGTTGAAGTTATATATAAAAATGAAAGCCCATAACCAAAGTCATCTTTGATTTTATATCTCAGTACTTTATGTAAGTTATTTTATCCTGTCTATCAGCTTTCACTCTCGACTTTCCTACAGAACTATAACAATGTCTGGTCACTTTCGTTTAGCGTAATAACATCCATTGTTTCTTATAATTAACTTTGTTTCTTATAATTAACTGAGTAATTGGTTACTTTGGTTTCTCGAGTTCTTCTGCATATTCACAATTATCTTCAGACGTACTAGTTGGAGGTTATGTTTGCGGTATCTTCTATTGTATACGGTTGAAATCGGTTTTGCCCTTCATGTGGTTAGTCAAGATTGAAACATGATGGACCGAGGGTCATTTTCATAATACCGGGATAAGATCCGAAGCCAGGTTACCAAGCTTAAGATTCAGGGACCGATCAATACCGAGCTCGAAGTCATTATCGAGCTCGAGTCCAAATCGAACTATGATGGGAAGTAGCGTCATCGAACTCAAGACCCGAGCCCGAGTCAACACCGAGCTCGAGTCAACATCGAGCTCGAGTCAGTATCGAGCTCGAAATCTGGAGATCGACCAATATCAAGTCCGACCAAGATCGAGCTAAGAGACAAGAGCCGTTGTAGCAGCACTTGGAGAAAGAATCTCGGTAGGATTAAGAAAAAGCTAAATTAACTAATATATCATGGATCCCCGCTATGCATTTTTTATTATATCCAAAATAGGATCCCTCCACTATAAAAGAGGAGCTATCATGGAACATGAGGGGATCCAGAGACTCCCTTATTGAAAAGATTATTGATATTCACATATAGATACAGGAGAAATCATACTTTTGTGAGCCTTGTACATCGATTCATCTTGCTTATCCGTAAATCGTTTTCTACTTAGTTTGGTTTATATTTCATCTCTTTTTTTACGGTCAATATTCGATATTTTTCTACGTACTTTTCCGATTTGTACCAAGTTATACCACGTATCCTTAAAACTACGTATAAATTTAATTCTATCCGTTTTTCGGGTAAACATCTATCTTCATAATGTTAAAGAGAATTTTCGGTTACTATGTGATAGTTTCTCCCCTAGTTTCTCGTATTGTTTATCAGTGCCTGTTTGTATTGATTTGGGATCTAAGATAACTCAAATGCTGGTAAATACTGGAGTTCAACACTAGACTTTCTAATCTCTTTGCGACTTGTTTATGTTCTTGAGTCAAAGATAATATAGTCCATCACATCTTCACATAGATTGTACTAATTGTATCTAGTTTGAAATTCAAGAATGAACAGGATATATATTCATGATTTTGGTAGTGAGGGCGTCCAATGCTTTGAATTGATTTGCTAAACTTTGTAGACCATTGCTAAACTAGAATTGAATCTTGCATTCTAAATATAGACTTTTTTATTTTATTTTTTATTTTTAAAAGTTAATTTATCTACAAAGAAGCCCCCAGCGATTCTAAATACAGACATACATCAAGATTCAAGAGGGACATTGCCTAAAAAGTTTAGCCAAAACTGTATTAATTAAGGCAGAATACATAGGCGGCCTCCTAAACTTGACAACATTTCTCACTTGGACACCTAAACCAAGAATAGTACCTATTGAACACTTAAAGTGAAAACAAATTGTGTCACTTAGACACATACCGCTGTCTATAGTGGTAAATGTGTATGTTTGAGGAATTCTGAAGACATACTTGGGAAGCCAAAAGATGGTCGTTCGGTCGGTCTACTGAAGCTCTAGGGACTTGTCAGTTGGCAATTGATGATGATAGGAATTAGGGACTCCTCCTTCCATCATATTAAGTTGAAGCATATTTCTTGCTAAATATTGTTGAATTGCACTGTATTCTTGCCCCCAGCTCAGTGGCGGATCCACCCTTTAAGTTGAAGGTGGTATGACACCCGCTAAATTGGTAAAATTTATATATACATATGTTGAATTTCTTTTAAATAAGGTTAAATATTTAATCTTGCTACCCGCAATCTCAAACTAGACAAATGTGTTATGGCTGGAAATGCGTTTTGCAAGATTTTCTTGCGTGTAAGGCTCATATTCCGAGGTAAATACTTACTCGCAGACCAGTAAATACATGACACATGTATTCACAAATATGATTAACACTAAACTATAGTTAATTAATATACATTCTCACATTAATTTATCACTTAACCATGATATATTGACATGATTTGGTGTAAACATTCGACGTGTAAATATAATTATTGTTCTTAATCTCATATATGTGAGTTTTCTTCTTCCAAAACATAAAAACTTGGGTCCCGATAAGAATTTTGGGATTGAGATCAAATATATTTTTTATAAATTTCTTTTGTTTATTATATCATAAATTTTTGAACTTTTCTGTGGTTGTATCTGAGTTTAAATCTTTTTTACTTCTAAATTATAATGAAAATTTGGTACGCATTGCATAGAGAAAAATATGAAATTTATGGATTTAATTTTTGGAACTTATAGTTTATCTAGTTCTACATTTACTTATGTAGCGTTTAATAGCTATTAGAGATGCTTTTTCTATTATTCTTATTCTAAATTGGTGTAATTCCCGTATCGAAGATGTTATTTTACTTGTGCAACTTTAATAGAGAGGGCGTGATTCTCTAAATAAAAAATATTAATATTAACTTACTTGTGAATATTTATTTTTGATATATAGGAAAGGATTCCCCTAGTGAAATATTATTTTAACTTGTGTTGTTAATAATAGAGATGTGATTGTTTGTTGAAAATGTTGATTCTACTTATTTCTTTATATAAAAGAAGTAATTTTCATATTTGCATATCAAAAACCTATTAAGTTGACTTAATAAATTCGAAAAAGACCAAATCGAACAGAATATATGTTTCTAAAAAACTCCATAGTCAAAATAAGGTGTACATTAAAGAAAATGTGGCACCCGTCACCTTTAATTCTGGATCCGCCTCTGCCCCAGCTGGCATCATGCTTAGTTCCCGAAGCCTCTCATTTTCAGCTATCTAGAAAGAAGAAAAAAGACATGATTATTTGTTTGAAAATAACTGAAGGAAAAATTTAGGTTTGGTCTCTTCACTATTAATGCTAAACGTACCTTTGATCTGAGGGATGCATTCTCTTGTTCAAGTTGGATTTCCTATTAGAACAGCATGTTCAAGATTAAAGAAACAAGAATAATTAATAAGATCTGTTAAGAACCAGCCTCAAGGAATTATGGTAGAACAACTACAACAACAACGACCCAGTGAAATCTCACTAGTGAGATCTGGGAAGGGTAGTGTGTACGCAAACCTTACACCTACCCAAGGGAGTATAATTATGATAGAACAAGTTTCAAGAAATTAATTACCCTCTTATGCAAATTCTCAGTTTCAGCTAGTATCATCTCATGCTGTTCAACCACATATAAGAAACATCAAAGCCATTTATTAAGAGGATATTACGGACATTAAAAATATTACTCCCTCCGTTCCAGTTTATGTGAATCTATTTTCTTTTTGGTTTTTTTAAAAAAGAATGACCCCTTTCTAAATTTGGAAATAATTTTGCTTAAACTTACAATTTTACCCTTAATGAGAAGCTTTCATAACCACACAAATATTCTGGGCCACTTTTTGAATTGTTTAGGACCACAAATTCCAAAAGTCTTTATTTTTTCTTAAACTCTGTATCCAGTCAAACAAGTTCACATAAATTGGAACGGAGGGAGTACCAGTATTCTTAACAATTTTAGTGTACCTTTTTTGACCTAATTCTAGTAATGCCTCGTTCAAGTTTGTTCTCCAACTGCTTCAGCTCCCTAACGTTCAAAGAGCTTAAGCCTTCACCAACAAGATGCCTGTGGATATAAAATTGTTATAACTTTTAGAAAACAATGGAATGCCTATGGATATAAAATTGTTATAACTTTTAGAAAACAATGGAATGCCTATGGATATAAAATTGTTATAACTTTTAGAAAACAATGGAATTAGTTTTAAGTTCATCTTATTTTTATGCAATTTTGACATTAATTACATGTTTGAATTTTGGATCATCTGTATCTGTTGGCGCTGCTTTTTCGTTTCTTGTTGGTAAAACTACGTCCATGATACCCAAAAGAATTAATTTTAGTCGTGCAACAATTGATTAAATAATATTTCTGATGTTTCTGTATGTGTGGAAATACTAAAAGTGTTATTTTGTGGCTTGAATTATTTCCTTGTATTTTTAGAAAACCCATAATTCCTATAGGTTTAGGAAAACCCATTGTCCTAATAGATTTGGAAAAGGAAAACCTATAGTCCTTGTTGAATTGGAAAATCTTTCTCTTATAGGTTTGAGACTATTTGGGATCTATATATAGGGATTGTAGTTGGGGATTCTATAGATGGAATTGTGCTTTTTCTTCTCATCCTTAGTGGAAAACTCTCTCTGCTTCTGCCTCGAGGATTAGGCTTAGCCGAACCTCGTTAAATCCTTGTGTTGATTATTCTTCTCTATTTACTTTGTGTGTGATTATGTGCTAGTTAACCCACGATCTTCCGCAACAATTGGTATCAGAGCAAGGTTCGGGTTTCTACATATAATCTAGGGTTAATATGTCTTCATCATCTTCAACAAAGTACGAAATAGAGAAATTTGATGGGGGTTCTAGTTTTAGTCTATGGAAGATTAGGATGAAATCGACCCTGGTGTTACAAGGGTTATGAAAGGCAATTGATGAGGATTTTCCTGAAGAGATGACAGAGACAAAGAAGGCAGATTTGAAGGAGAGGGCTTTGAGTGCGATTTTCATGAGCGTTACATATAGCGTTCTTCGAGAAATTGCTGAAGAAACTTCTGGAACAACACATGGAAGAAGCTGGAAGATCTGTATTCTAAGAAATCGCTAACAAACTGGCTCTACTTGAAAAAAAAAGGTTATACAATCTATGTATGAACGAAGGTACACATGTTAAAACTCACCTTGATGAGTTTAATTCAATTATAATGGACCTGAAGAACGTGGATATCAAAATTGAGAGTGAGGATCATGCCTTGATTGTGTTATATTCTTTACCACCGTCTTATGATACTTTTGCCGATACGCTGCTATATGAGAAAGACAACATTTCACTGGAAGATGTTAGTAATGCACTAAAATGTAAAGAGTTGAAAAAGTATTTTCCAGACAGCAGAATTGAGGGCGAGGGTCTTGTGATTAGAGGAAGAACACAATAAAAACAAAATGACTTTAACAGGAAAAACGTCAACCGCCAAATCAAATTCTAGAGAAAGGAAGTAAAACTGTTATGAGTACGGGGAGCAATGTCACTCCAAGAGAGATTGTCCTAAGATGAAGGAGAAAAGAGGGAAGCAGAAAATAGATAATTCGGCAAACATTGTTGACACTCACAATAATTATGATGATAGTGTCACGACCTAAAAACCCACTAGTCGTGATGGCACCTAACCCAACCCATTAGGTTAGCCAATTTTCAACTATCCAATTCCAATGAAATTAATTAAAAGAAAATATCTAAAACCGATACATCTCCCCAAGAACTAGTAGTACAAATCATGAGCTTCTAAGAATAGAGTATACAAGGCGGAAATGAAATAAATACATAGTCTGTTTGAATAATACATAAACAGAGCTTTTATAAATCTAAGGCTACCCTGAACAAGAGGCAGCTACAACAGGAACGCAGGTACATCTTCAAATCCCGCAACCANTAAACAGAGCTTTTATAAATCTAAGGCTACCCTGAACAAGAGGCAGCTACAACAGGAACGCAGGTACATCTTCAAGTCCCGCAACCATCGAGCATAGCAACAACAACAGCCAACATCTGCACGCAATGTGCAGAAGTGTAGTATCAGTACAACCGACCCCATGTACTGAATAAGTAACAAACCTAGCCGTAGGTTGAAAGTAGTGACGATCTTCTACCAAGGTCGGGTCCACAACCAATAGTACACAACAATCCATAACGACATAAAGCAAATAATACCAGAAATAACTCAGGGATAAAATACTCAGCCAAATAATGATTTCAAAAATTATAGTTCTTCCTTCCAAATATCTCAGTGAAAACCCAAATCGTTTGCCGAAGTTTCCAATAATATAAATAGTTTGAAAACAATAAATTTCTCCCAAAATCTTGTTAATAATAAATAAGATGTTTTATTTTCCTTCCGGATAACCCGTGTAAAACAAATGCATCACTATGCCTATCTGTCAAAAATGTGTGAGAAATCATGAATGATGTAATGTTGTATAGCATGAGGAAAAATAAATCTCTATGCTTGTATGTCATGTGTGCATGCCAATGCGATGCAATTCAGTGATAAAATCATAAACAACCCCTCAGGCAGAACATCACTCATATACAGCCCCTCGGGCAAACCTCACAGTCACTCGTGCCATTCGGGCATACCTCACAATCACTCATGCCTCCTAGTCACTCATCACTCAGCACTAGCACTCAGTAGGTACCTGCGCTCACTGGGGGTGTGTACAGACTCCGGAGGGGATCCTTCATCCCAAGCGCTATAATCTGCACGGACAACTCACGTGCCATCATATCAATACCTGGATCCGCACGGTCAACTCACGTGCTACGCGGACAACTCACGCGCTATGGTATAAATACCTGGACCCGCAAGGTCAACTCACGTGCTACGCGGACAGCTCACGTGCTATGGTATTAATATCCTCACAACCAGGCCCTCGGCCGATATCAACATGCTGCGGCGTGCAGCTCGATCCCATAAGTATGCAACATAAATCAGGCCCTCAGCCTCACTCAGTCATAAACCTCTCAAGCCACTCGGGCATCTCAGTAAAACAGGGCATTCGGCCCAAAATATTTTTTATGCATCAAAATAAAGTCATAAAACTGAGTTATGATATGCAATGAAATGAATATGACTGATTATCACTTTTCAATTTAACACAATAATTCACAGTAATATGACCTCTGTGGGTCCCAATAATTCTGGCACATAGCCTCAACATGATTTGTAATATGCTTTTCAGCTCAATTTCTTTAACACATAAAACCGCATGGAAAATACCAAGGTTATTTAACTATAAAATTTTACATAAACAATTATGTCACAATTTCTATAGTGCACGCCCAAATGCCCGTCACCTAGCATGTGCGTCACCTCCCAACAATTCACAAAATACATATATTCAGGGTTCATACCCTCAACTCCAAGATTAGAAGAGTTACTTACCTCAATACAAGCAAATTCTTTATTCCAATAAACCTTTTCCTCTTGATTCGGCCTCCGAACGCCTCGAATCTTAGTCAAAATAATTTGATACAATCAACACGAGGTATAGGAATCAATTCCATATGAAAATGCTAATTTTCCATAAAAATTCGAAATTTAGCTCAAAAATCGCCCATGGGGCCCACATCTCAGAACCCGACAAAAGTTATAACATCCGAACACCCGTTCCGATACGAGTCCAACCATACAAAAATTATCAAATTCCGACATCGGAT